GTAGACTGGTGATGTTATTTCCAGTCTGGTCTGACGTCACCTCGGTGTTGTTGAGGTCGAAGTGCATCGCTGCGTCGTCGACGAGCACCCCCTCCCCCTCTTAGTGTTGTGGTTCAATATGATATCATCATATATATGTGATAGAATGTGTCCTCCTTCATCTCTGTTCATAGTATCTGTTGTTTTTCTAATCCATAAAGATTCTCTGACTTTTCGTTCAAACCATGAGCTTTCTTTCTGTAATATTTTTATGTCCCAATTTGGAATATGATTTAGCTGTGTAGCATGATCGGTAATTGCAGATTTATTTAAAATTTTGGAATCGGACAACCTTGCTGATCTTGTTCGGATTCCTACTGTGTTCTTTTGAACATCTGTTTGATGTTCCTGAATCCTGGTTTTAAGTGATCTTCCTGTTTCACCAATATATACTTTTCTGCAATTTAAGCATGATACTTGGTAAATGCAGCCACAGGTTTCCTGTTTTTGTATTTTGTCTTTAGGGTGGACTAATTTCATACAAATTATATTTGGATCCAAATGAATTTATTTCAAATGGAAATTTAATTACAACAGAAAATTGTAAACAATTAGTTCTAGCAAATGTAAATCTAAAATTAGACAAGTATTTACAACAGGAAGATCTTGTTCACATCGTACTTTCAATGAAAGCAGGACTACTCACAGGGAAGGAGGAGTATACTTACACACTGTGATCAGCGGCGGATCTATGATTTAGCAAAGGGGAGTGAATAATGCAAGGTGCGAAGCAACGAAATTCGGGGGTGGGGTGGCTTTCGGCGGTAGGTTATTCCCCTCCCATTAGATTTTTTTTTTTTTTTTTTTTGGAAATGGCATCTAAAAAGTTTAAAATAGAAAGTGAATGTTTTACAGGGTAGCCTTCTATTTTACACATAATATGTATTCACGAGAAACACACATACACAAGACGAGTGATCATTTGTTTAACGGTAACTAAAGAGGGGTGGATAGCCAATCTATTCACTCCCCTAGGTCCACCGCTGGTGATGTTGTCATACACACTTCTGCCAAATTCTTCAACTTAAAAAATTTCTGTATTTTATTAGATGATAAAGAATTTGACGTGTTCATCTCGTACAAGGGCAACACTGATGACGAATTATTTGTCATTAAGAAACTCGTTCCAAAACTAGAAGAAATGGGATTTGCCGTGTGCGTTCATTACAAACATTTCGTTGTCGGTCAAAGTAAGTGATACAAGTTAGGCATATATAGAGTAACATCAACATCCTTGCAAAGTCAGTTTCAGTTACTTGCTCTCAATTTTTCAACAGTGGCACGCACTATACAGTGGTGCGTCCAAACTTACTTAAATAAATAACAATAAAAAGTGAACAAAAAGTCAAAAAGATAACGAAAAGGCAAACGGAAACATCAGGGAATTTAACAATAATTATTAAAAGAAAGAGAAAAAACGAATAACATCTTATTAAACAAAATTCAAACCTCAATTATGATATATAAAGAGCAAAGGGCGTACGTTGGCCCAAAAGTTGAAATAAAGTTCAGGCACAAACGTATATACAAAATAGGTACTAGAAATTCAGATACAAAAAGTGTTGACTTTAGAAACACTAAATTTATTGAAACGAATATTTTGGCTACTCCTGTAGTTTTTGTCAACGCTTGATATAAAATGAACATACTGTGAAAGTTTCTTAGTAATATACAATTTGAGAAGCGAATCGTATATTGTGGGAAAGCATTACTATAGTTTGGATTAGCTGTTCATAATTGAAAGGCTAAACATAGGGCTATGATTAAAACCGAGTAGAACAGGAAGCGGCGATGAAAAAAAATAATGCTATCCCACAGTCCACCACTTCGTCGTTTCCCTCATCACTATTTATCTGTACATGTATCATTAATCCTTTATAGTATGCCGACTTGCTTTTGACTTAATCATGGAGAAATTAGTTAATTTCTCATGACTTAATAATTGTTTCTCAAATTGTATATTACTACAGGAGTAGCCGAAATATTCATTTCGATAAATTTTAGTGTTTCTAAAGTCAACATTTTACGTATCTGAGTTTTTATTACCGT